CTACAGCATCCCAAATTCACTACAATTACTTTATAATGTTCTGCATCTGGTCTAGACACAACCCTGTGAAGGTGGAGATTACATCACATTCACCATTTTTATACAGAGCTCCTAGTATAAACATGGTGCCCGGTACACAGAAAGCTCTCAGAACTCTGTTGTAGAAAGGAATGTATATTGTGTCCCCACCACATGCCAGACACTGGTATATGCTGTCCATATACAGGACTCAGCTCTTAGGAAGAAAGTAAGATACAGAAAGATGAAGTATCATGGCTGGAGTTAGCACAGCAGGGAAGTGGTCAGGCAGGGGTTTGAAAGTACATTTGTCAAATTCTACAGAAGTGTCACTCCCAAGCCTGGTACCGTGCCTCTGCATTGCAGACCAGGAGGAAACGAGGCAGGAACAAACCAATTGTGTTGAAACTGTCTTTCCCTAGGATATGAGGATGATGATCCTGGGAACCCAAGAACTCCCAAAACACAGTTTCAAAGCCATCAGTTTAACAATGGAAACGGCTTGAAGGCCTCCAAAGAAGTAAACCCAGCAAGGATTGCCGACTTTTGTTGAGCTCTTTATGTGCAGGTACTGTGCTGGGCATCCAATAGGCATTACCTCACTGGCTCCTCCCTTTTCTCCCATAAGGGAGACACAGCCATTATCCTCAGTGTACAGGTGAGAAAATAGAGACTCAGAGGTGAATCACCTTGCCCACGATCAAGTAAGCAGGAAGTAGGGGTGTCACATTCTAACTGCTCTACTTTACTGCCCCTGTGTACGGGTGGAGCTTCATTTACAAGCCACCTGAGCCTCTGTCTGGAACTGTCATTGCTGTCACCTTTCCCTTCTCCTTCCTGACCATCCCACCACCAAGGATAGAAAATACCTTCTGGATGCATCCCTCGTGTCACTCTGAGGTCTGTACACAAAGCATTGTTTGTGAGGCTTAGGGAGGAAGGTCTTCATTTATCAAACAGGAGAAGCACCATCGACCACACATGACCTGGCACCTGCTACCAGAGATGGCACAGAAGAGGGGCTGCATAAATGTCTCTTGAGCTAAATTGAGATCGCTTGAATGAAAGGACAGTCACTGTGGAATCTGGCCGTGTTTTGGGATTTCCTAGCTGCCAGCTAACACGATCATTCTCTCCAAGAAGAAACTAGGTCTATGCCAATACCCTTGGCTATTCTGCTAACATGCCACTACCCTCAGATTGCTTAAATGAGAGAGAGACTATAAACAGGCAGAAGGAGACAGAAGAATGGCGATCAGGTATACACTTGTCACTTTGGGAGGAAGGCGAACTCTGTAAGGTGACTAGGTTACCATTTAATGGCATCCCTAAGAGCATGAACCAGAATTAGGTATTTCCTCAAAATAACCTTTTTAAAAATAAGAATGCAAGTTTGTAATTTATATTTCTTTTTGTGCAACAAATTTGAGTGTCATAAAAATGGTTAAAAAGTCTTCCTATGGTAGCTTTTTCTAAACTTTTATGAACATCTGCCACATTCATTTGAAGTTTAAAAAATTCTGGCACATATGCAAAGGCATAATAAGGTGCCTATAGCTTTCAAGAAAAAATAACAAGACAGTCAAAAATAAGCCTTTTGCTGAATTGCCAGTAAGAAAACTAGTGTAGCAAGAGGAGATGGGCCTTCCTGAGCACCTTCCGTAAAGAGCTTTCCTTTGGCCCCAGATCTGAATTGGAGGTTCCTGCAGGAAATCGCAGGGGAAGCATCCCTTTCACCTGAAGGGTACAATGGGACTAGATAAACCCAATCAGAAAGTACAACTACGGCACTCAGAAGCTGAGCTGAAACTCTAGGGAGGAGGTCAGGAGACTGAATTCTAAGATTCGGTAGTTCACGGCTGCCCTACACACCCAGGAAACACTTCTTTGTTCAGAAAGTGTCTCAGCTGGTTTCAAGAGTGGGGCAACTCCCATTTTTGTTTTTATTTTTGTGCTGACTACACAGGAGTTCAGCACAGCAAACTCCTTCCCAGCCTCTGTCAATCAGCAAGGCTAAGGTCTATCTTAGCCAGTGCCCCCTGAGCCTTCTCCCTTAACGCCCTTCAAAGGCTGAGCAGAAGAGACCTGTACCCATTCATGTAAGTGCAAAACTCTGTCTCAAGTTTCAACTGCAAAATGTATGCATATTTTACCATGTTTTACTACAAAAGGCCTTATTTTAAATTACTTACAATTATATAAAAAGTAAAAAATTCACTTCCCACACCTGTAAGTAAAATTATGGCATTGGGTTGCCTGAAAACAGTGATGCCTATTAGAGGGCTTCTAAATGTGCTCCAAATTACAGCTTTCCAAGCATTCACTCAACGCTTCTTTTCACAAAGCATTTGCTCAGAGAATATCACCTGTGTGGCATCCTGTTAGGTGCTGGGGACACCACAGTGAATGATGCACAGTCCTTGTTCCCAAAGAAGTCATCCTCCAGGGGATGATGGAGAGAGACAAGGAAGCAAACAGCTATTATTCAGAGCAAGAGGCACCGTAAGTCAAAGAAGAAAACAGAGCAGGAGGACTTCTTGGAAGAGGCGGAGAAGGGCAGGGCTAATGCATGCAGAGGGGTGGGAATGTGGGTATGTTTAGGGATCAGCAAGAGCACGAGCTAACATGGGTCAGCGACCAGGCAGAAGGCTTGACAGCAGCAGAGAGACTGTGCAGAACCCAGGGACTGTGTAGGGGAGGTTGGAAGGCTCCTCCCCAAGCATTATGTAGCCCATGGTTATCAAGTGACCGGGTGGAGGGCAACCCATGCAGTGTTGTGACTATGCACTGAACTTTATATTCATCTCCATACCTCCAGGACCTAGCAAAATGCTTGGAACATAAGAGGTCCTCATTTTGTTTATCAAATGAATAAGGCTTTTGCAAGAATCCAAGAAAGCAAAGCAAAGTGTCAATGAAGGCAGTGAGGAAAGAACAGGGTGAGAGACATTTTAGAGCTTTGTGAGTATTTAGAGAGGATGAGGAAGAAGAGCATTCAGCCATGATCAGTGTGTCCCACTTAGGTGTCACTGAAGGCAGTAGTGCCATTCACAGGAACCTGGAACAGTGGAAGGGGAGTGGAGTGGCTTACAGAGAGAGAGAGCGTGTGTGTGTATGTGTGTGTGTGTGTATAGATAATAAATTGTTTGGGGAAGACTGGGGAAGACATCTGTAGTACATCCAGGTGAAATCCAATTGGCACTTTAAACTTTGGACCTGAAGTTCAGACAGAGGCAGACCAGCGTTAAAATCCCAGCTGAGTCATTGACATTGACCTGGTAGCTGAAGCAAAAGGCCTTAAACAAGGTGACTAGAGGGCACATAGAAAAGAAGAGAAAGACACAACTAGAAACTTGGAGAATGCTGAGGCGCTGGGACATAAAAAGGAGTCTGAAAAAGCCTGTGCTGGAGCAGTCTGGAAGGCAGGAGGAGAGGCAGGCGGGAGGGAACTGTGGACTCTGATAGACCAAATAGTCGTTATATTAGTGTTTCAAACTCTACAGCAATTGGCACTAACGGTCCATTGGAAAGTATTCACTTTGAATTTCAGTTTTTCATACGGGAGCTTTGAATAGACCCCCAAACTTGACAAACAAAGGTAAAACACAGAAGAAATCTCTTCAATCTGATCTAAATACATCATCCCAGATAGTCCATAAACTGTGTACTGTATGTGCTTAGGGCTGGGTGATGACAAGGAGGAACTGTTAACAGAATGTAGGAGCCACATGGCCGGCCTGTCAAATTAGAAATTTGAGCAGATTTCTGTGGTCTATTTTGATCAAGATTCTCAATGTCAAACAAACAGGTTTTTCGATAACCAACTTCTTTCATTTTCGTAAGCACAATAGCACAGTGTGCAACAGTTAGTGAAGCAGGTGGTCCTCGTCGACGTGAAATGAAGGGAACAGAAGAAGAGAAGTAGCACTTCCTTCAAGACATGCAAAGCACCACCGCAGACGGACATGGCTGTAGATTTTCCCTCTGAGAGCTTATCTCCTGTGCAACACAGGCAAGCCCCCTCCCCACGCCTCATTTTGCTCTAGTACAAATTAAAACTCTCTCCTAAGGAGGAAAGGGCTTAGGGTACATGTCTACAAACTAATGACACTTACAAAAGCACAGAAAAGTCCTTTAAAAGAATTGCTATCTAATTGGTACAGCCATACAGAAAGCAATCTGGCATCCGATGCATAGCTTTGACCAAGCATTTCTACTTTAGGGGTTCTATGCTAAGGAAATGAGGCAAAATGCAGATAAAGCCTTATGCATAAAGATGTTCGCTGAAATGCTATTTATAATAGTGAAAAATTATAAACAACCTCAGTGTCCAACAGTAGGAAAACGGTTACGTTGTGGTATATCCAAATAGTGGGAATGATAGGTGGCAAATTAAAAATTATTACTGAGAGTAGATAAAAACATGTAGAAATTCCCAAGCCATGTTAATTAAAGACATAAAATTACAAAGCATATCAATTATGCATATTTATACAAAACATATATTTAGACAATAAAGACTAAGAAGGAGATTAGTAAAATGCTAACCATGGTTCAATCTGGAATAATGGTATCGTGGATAATTTTAATTTCCTTCTTCATGATTCTATGTACATTTTATATCACATTTACTACAATGAAGAATGCAATATTGCTATAGCGATTAGAACAAACATTTTGAAAAGCAAATCATTTCCCTTCCCTCATTCAAACCCTTAAAGAACCCTTTCCTCCTGCCTCCTTGACTCTCTCTCCCTCAACCCGTGAAAATCCACAGTCTCTAGGCAAAGTGGGAAAACCCTGAAAACAGAGTCCAATGCAGAGCGTCCAAGCTGAACGCTCAGCTCTGTGCACCTGGGAGGTGCTGCTTCGGCACGCTCCCACATGCAGAGCTGTGACTGCCGAGACTGGGTCTCTCCACCGCCACACAATGAAACAAAGCCCCAGGTAGAGCCATCTGGGGAGGAAAGAAGCCAACTTACCTCCATTAAACTTAAATGGATTCCTATGAGGTAGGGCATGGGAGCACTGTGAAGAGAAACAGAGACACACAGCTGCTTTAATGTCTGTTGCTTCTGACAGAAAATTACAGATGGTTCACTATTTGGAGAAAAACTGTTTTAATAAACGTATGCACAGTTACATTTCCTTTCACAACAAAAATCCTAATATGACATTTTGTTCCCAAGCCTTGAAACTTCAGAAGAATTTCAAAACGTGGGCAGCATTGGAAACAGCATGGGTATCAGGAAGAGCATCAACCTTGGTATTAGTCCCTAAAGAGCAGCTCTGCAACTGCACAGCCTCAGTTGCCTTATCTTTAAAATGGAATCCTGGATTGCAGCCAGCATGTTGTTATTAGAATCAAAGAAAATATACGTTAAATGATCAGCAGAGTTCTAATACAAATGGGAACGATTATTGCCATGATTACAACAGAAAAAGCAGTTAAGGTTGGATGAAGGGCATAATGTGTTTCAAAGAAGAATATTTTGTATTTTCTGCTTCCTCTGTCATCAAGAGATGTGATCTAACTGTCCATTCTGATTGGACAAAGTACTTGGAGAGCTGCCAGCAAGCAACTCCTCCCCAGTTGCACACATGCCATCCCATGACACTATAATTCAGAAAGCCTCTGCCAACTGCTTCATTCACGGAGCCACGGGTTCCCTAAGTCAGTGACTGAGCAAAGGCATGAGAACTCCACTCTAGTGGGTTTAAAACCTGGGCATTTTGGATACACCGGTCCTGCCTTTGGTTTCAGGGGTTGGTGTGTACGTGTGTGTGTGTATACATTATCATTTATGTTACCTACCAATAACAAATGTGCTAGACATTATATGAGGAAGTTTAAATTCATCTATTCTAATCCACACAACAACTTTGCAATACCCATAGATACAACACCCATTTTACAGAGAAGGGACTAGGCCTAAAGAGGTTAAATCACTTACCTAACACCACAAAACAAAGTCAGTGGTAGACTTGGGATTTGACTCCCAAATATGCATTTCTTCCTTTGTACCACACTGATTTTGTAATACAGACCCTGAAATCCCCAAGCTCACTTCCCGTGCAATGCTTTCCTTTGGGTCAGGGGAAGGAGGTCAAGGAAGAGTGAGGAAGGGTGTGACTGGCAACTTTTCCATCTATCTCTCTAGTATGGGATGTATTCTATGAAATGTGCAGATGGTATTTTGTGAACCTAGAGAAAAGATACCTGACTCAGACTGGGGTGACCAGGTACTTTTCTTCTGGGGCAGCTGGTAGAGTAGAGGTGGATGATCAAGGATGGCTCTTTGGGGACAAAGTTGGAGAAACAAGGATTGGTAAGTAATGAGACAGGAGAGGTTTGCTTCCAACTGAATACTATGGAGTTTAGGCTTTATCCTGAAAGCAATGGATAGGCAAGGGAGGTTTCTAAACATCACATGTTTATTGTTAAATTACTCAAACATTTAAAAATAAGAAAGGGCATGATTCCCTCATTACCATTCAACAAATAAAATTCAAGCAAAAATCCTTTCTTTCCCTCTTTCCCCAGAATATAAAATGTCCTCCTTACTACAGATCTCAGCAGTAATATAATATGTCTTGGGAACATGTAAAACAGACTTGAATATTAGCAGCTCAGTTTGCTAACTATTCTAGAAGACTTTTGTATTTGATAATAGCTAAAGAAAGAACTATATACACAACTGCAGTGAAAGTGGAGTTGTCTTTCTTCTTCTCTTTTTTTTTTCTTTTTTAAGGTATCTGCTGTGTGCATTCAGCTTCTCTTTGCTTCTAGGGGCAAGGAAATGCCCTGTGACATTTTTTTTCCCCCTAAACTGTAAACCATTAGTTTAGCTGCCAGCTACACAAACGCTCAAACTTCCCAGTGTGCCTGGCTCTGCTGTCCAAGCTTTTTCCAGTGTACACTGAAATGAATGTGTTTCTAATTAAGTAGCTTCAGGAACACGACAGCTTCAATGTCAAAAATACAAAGTCTGAACCCTGGCAGGAAGTCTTAAGACTGCAAATGTCTCATCTAGTGGAACCTTGCCTAATGTAATGAAAGGAAGCAGGAAGAGTACAAATTCCAGAAAAATGGCCACTTATTAATGTGACCAGAAGCACAGCCTAACACATAGAAGGGAGAAAGCGCAAATCCATAATATTTAACTAAATCTTATCACCTTTCCCATCTCCTACATTTAATCATGCAATTGACCAGTGACCATGAGTTTTAACCAGAATTGTAGAACTGAAATTCCAACAAACGAATTAATATACAGAAAAAGACATTCAAATGGCTGAAAATAAACATGTATACCAAAAGCCCTCTGTATAACTTAACCATAGGATCTTATGTATGTAGACTTTAGTGCTATGCCCTTTTGTCCTACAATAAAAATCAATTATACCCTGAAAGGAAAAAGGGACCTCATGGAAAAGACTGAAGATGCAAGAAAGGGCAAAATGGAACTCATTCTTCAAGTATCTTCAGATAGGCATTTTTAAAAGCCCGATAATTTTCCAAAGAGTAATTATGGCCTATCGTAGAAATGTAGTTTTCTTAGCCAAGTATTGTTAGAACTGCAACAGCTCTGTATTTAGAAAATATTTAAAACACATTTATTCTGAAATCATAGCAGCTCCATGTTTTGTATGAATGTAAATTTGGACAAATACCTTTTACACTGTCATCATTTACGTACAAAGCCTCAGATATTTCCCTGAATCTACTGCATGTTTGCTCTGCAAATAGATAATTACGAATTCCAAGTGGTGACAGGGAGAGGGAAGAAAAAGAAACCCAGAATTTCCTGAACATCTCAATGTGGTACTTATCCAATTGGGTAATTCTAGGTACAGTCTGAAAACAATTTCTATTCTCAATAATTATTGTAGCTACTGACTCAGTTTCTTGGAAACCTCTTCTTTGTCTTTTTATTTTTAAAAGAAATGTTTGGGGAGAAAAACACCTACCCATGATTATACTATCCCAACACAATTACTTTTTCTTTTGCATTCCTTTCTAATACTGGCTCACATTAAACAGGTTTATATCTTCGAAATCATAAAAGGCATACATTGTATTATTTTCTCATTGGCTACATGAACATTTCCCAGATTGTTCTATAATTTTGTGATTATTAAAGACTGCATAATATTCCACCAAATATGGATGTACCATAATTTATTGAATGCTATCCCTAGAGTAGACATTAAGTTGCTTCTAACTTTTCACTATCATAAGTATCACTGTGATAAAAATGAACACCTTCATGTTGCATGAATTCCTAGACACAAATTACTAAAAATTAAAGGACAGGGCTGTTTCTTATCGTTTGTTATATCCTAGCAGAGTGCTTTCCAAAAAGGCAGTACCTGGCCTAGTGGAAATCTTTCAGGACTGTTGCAGAGATTAGAGACAACCTCCGAGGTACCTGGCACAGGTGCAGCACATGGTAGGGTTCTCTCTGAGCCCCTGGCATGGCTGGCACCATTGGACCCACCCTCTTACTACCCACAGAATGGTTTCTTGTTCCAGCCCTGGTTCTGTAGGACACCCACTCCAGGATACCCAGTAAACTGCTGGTAAGAATGGTCAAGATGCCATGAGGAATGGGAGGTGCTTGACAGGCACACGTCATCTCTACACATGGATTTCTGACTGCCAAGCACACTCCTGTCTCCTGGATACTCCACTGAGTTCAGGAGGGTTGCTTATCACTTTCTTCAGGAGGGTGCCTTTCCTTTCTAATGTACCACCAATAATGGAAAAACTATCAAGGAAACAATGGTTCATGACTTTCTGATCACTTGGACACATTTTTAAAAACCTCTTATCACTCTTGAGCATACATTAAAAATAAAACATAGCAAAATAAACTGGGTAAGCTTTTTTTTTTTTTTTTTTTTGAGACGTTGTCTTGCTCTGTCGCCCAGGCTGGAGTGCAGTGGCGCGATTTCGGCTCACTGAAAGCTCCACCTCCCGGGTTCATGCCATTCTCCTGCCTCAGCCTCCCGAGTAGCTGGGACTACAGGCGCCCGCCACCACGCCCGGCTAATTTTTTGTATTTTTAGTAGAGATGGGGTTTCACTGTGTTAGCCAGGATGGTCTCGATCTCCTGACCTCATGATCCGCCCACCCCGGCCTCCCAAAGTGCTGGGATTACAGGCGTGAGCCACTGTGCCCGGCCTTAAGTTATTTTTTAAAAAAACTTCTTCATGTTCAGAATCCAACTCATCTGAATCCTTTTCTGATCCAGAGGCATCAACGTCCATGTTTTTCCAAGGGTATCTCAGTTACAAAACCAAACCAAAATCCATCTAGAAGTGATCTTCCTGTTTAGGTCCTTATTTGTTGTTGTTCTAGAAAATCTGAATGGAAATATCTACACTTCAGTAATAGCAAATGTATATACTCTGCTTCTCTGCTCCGGCGCCCTTCAGCATTCACAGTGACTTTACCTTTCAGTGTTGAATCCTAGTGCAATTGTGAAGACATTTTAAACGGCAATTAAACAACATGTGTAGAACCAACAATGCACATAATTAAATTAAAGCGGTGATAATATTAACAGTTATAACCAAACTTACGCATAGGCGGGTCATGACAACCATGTCACAACTGCCGTATGGCTGACAGTGATTGTAAGGATGCTACTGTACATCTTGGAATAGCAGAATGGGGTGTATCTGTACGAAGCTTTTGTTCTCTGGGAGTTGCTGCACTATCTGATTTCATCAGTTTCATCAGTTACGGGAGAGTAAAAGTGACTCTCTTTTCCTTCTACCCTGAAAAGGAAAAGGGCTCTGTTGCTGGTGTTGAGGCAGACACAATAGAATAACCTTTACCTGGAAGATATCTTTAGTTTGAATCCTCTTAAGAGGAAAAGGAACTTTTATTGAGCTACTATAATTCAGTCACTTTTATGCATTACAGACATAATGCTCAAGGGAACTCTGCAAAGTGGTGCTATCATCCATATTTTCAGGTTAGGAAACAGGCTCAGAAAGACAAAAGTAATTTGCCAAGA